ATTATCAGGCATGCTATGCCCATTTGAACTCTCGCTGTTCTGAAGCATTGAACCTGTCCGCTAAGTCGGGGCGAATACAGTGAATTATCAGGCATGCTATGCCCTTTTGAACGCTCGCTGTTCTGAAGCATTGAACCTGCCCGCTAGAGCGGGGGGAATACAGTGAATTATCAGGCATGCTATGCCCATTTGAACTCTCGCTGCTCTGAAGCATTGAACATGTCCGCTAAGGTGGGGTGAATACAGTGATTTATCAGGCATGAGATGCCCATTTGAACTCTCGCTGATCTGAAGCATTGAATCTGCCCGCCAAGGCGGGGCAAATACAGTGAATTATCAGGCTTGAGATGCCCTCTTGAACTCTCCCAGTTTTGAAGCATTGAATCCGCCCGCAAAGGAGGGATGAATACAGAAGTTTATCAGACTCGAAATACCCGCTCGATTTCGCAATTTTGAATTGTTGAATCAGTACCGTAAGGCGGGGGAATACAGTGAATCATCACGCGTTGCGATGGGTTCGGCGTGCCAGCTTGATCGTTCTTGAGTTTTGGAGATTAATCAAACCGCGAATTGGGGCGAATGCACGCCGGGCGAGGGCTGAACGACCGCTAGAGCGATCTCTAACTTCTGGGGTCATATCTGATTGCAAATCAGGGCCAAATTCGTGCCGAACTAGTAAGGCTGCTTGAACCGGTCGATTTATCATTTGACTATTGAGGGTAATTGCGGTTTGTACCGGCCAAATTACGGGTTGACTATAGAAACACAAAGCTGACTGATTCAACTGTTTTGACGATTAACTAAGAAGACTCATTGTTGTCTGAACCTGTTATTTTACCAGCCGGCTGATCGAAACCGTCGGCGGTGTGAAGTTGTAAAACAAAGAAGAAACAAAATAGAAAAATAGGTAGCGAGACAGGGTGTCTCCTACCAAGTTCCCTGTCGTTCGTTGAGGACCTCGGAAGCGGGCACGGTGAGTGAAAGGCGCTGCTGCCCCTGGCTTCAACAAGCTGTAGGCGACCCCTCCCCGGGTTTCCTCACAACGCGACAGCGAGACCAATGCCCTGTTATAAAATCGGGGACTTGGTGCAGGTACGGAAATCTGCGCGCTCCTTCAAGATCCACCCACGCTATATCGGCATTTACGAAGTGACCGAAGTTGTCGCACGAGGACAGCACTCCGTGAAGCTGGTCCCCCGGCATAGCTTGCAGGCCAGGTCGCTTACGCGACACGCGGCGGCTCTTCGGCTGTTTTGGCCATCTCCGGGCCGCGAATCGGCTCTTGCCCCGTCCGAGCCTTCGTCCTCTCTCTCCTCCTCTCCTTCTTTGTCTTCTTCCTCTCCCCGATCTGCCTCGTCCCTGGGTGCTGAGAGTTTCAGGGAGCAGGATGAACCATCGCCAACCGGAGCATGAGCCCCTCGAGCATTTCCAGACGCCGCTTGCAGATCGCTTGTTGCGGCATCAGTTCAATGACGAGAGGCAGTTGCGATACGACATTCAGCAGGTGAACGTACCAGCGCCCGAGGTTGCTGATCTGGCGGCGTACTCGTTACTGTGTGATCGGCTGACGTATGCGGGGGTGTACGTGGACGTAACGCAGTTGCCCGGGCGGGAGACGACTCGAGTGTTCATCGAGTTCCGCGCGCTCCAGATGGCACCTAACTTCGTGCATAGCGTCGCCATCTTTATCGAAAACTTGACGATCCTGCCGCAGCTGAGTCGGGAGTTGGCACGAAGCTTTGTGTGCAAATACGCGGTGCAGGCGGCCAGATCAATGGCCAGAGTGCAAGGACGGGGAGGGCATCGATTCACAGCCCACGAAAAACTGTTGTGCAGGGCAGAGGACGAACCAATTGCATTGGTGCCACAGCTCCCCGCGCTTCTTCCTCCTGCTGCCCCTCTCAACATCCAAGCTATTCCACTTGCCCCGTACTAAATGCCTCCCTTCTTCTCTTACACCACTCTCCCCTATCAACTCACGGAGGCCCCTTATCCTATGCGTGAGTTCTCGGACTATTTGGTGGAGCTGACTGACGTGGAGCCGTTGCCCTTCACAGACGAAGACACGTGGGAGTTGCACCGTGCGCTATACAAGTCAGTGGCGTTGGGGATGTTCCGATTCTTCGTGAATCATGAAGACCACTGTATCGGGGAGCACTTCGTCGTCTATTACGTCATCACGCGGCCCAAGCCAGCGCAGAAGGAGGGGACGATGGCGTTGTACCCATTCGCCCAGCTCCAGACGACCGATCCGGGATTGTTAAAGCTCATACATCTGGAGCTCCTATCCATTGCGCAAGTGATCGCGAGCGAGGAAGAGGAGATCCAGCCACGATTGCGGACGGCGGCTGCCCCACAGAGAACGTACAACGCGGTCGATCCCGGATTACATTGCGCAGCGCGAGGAGAGGTTGGAGCACTTCCCGGAGGAAAAGCCGTTGCGACCTCCCTCGTCGTATCCCAGACCGGTGCCGCCAAAGGCCCCTAAGAAGACGCCGAAGAGGAAGAGACGTCACTCGTCGCCAGGAGCGCAAGGCAGCAGAATCAGTGGAGGCGAAGAGGTGGTTCAGCCCGTGCGCACGCGGAATCTTGACCCGGTGCCGGGGAGTGCGGCGACGCTGGTTAAGGAGACTGTCGTGTCATCGCCGCCCTTCCCGCGCATGCCCGATCTCAATCTCGATGGAGCTGACCATCAGCCGCAGCAGCCGCAGGAGGAATCCGAATGGGATTACCGGATCCCGTATCCAGATCCCCCGTCAGCAACCGCAGGAGGAATCCGAATGGGATTACCGGATCCCGTATCCAGATCCCCCGTCCTCGCGGGACCTTTCCACTTCCGCCAGCCACCCCAGAGTGCCCCGATCATTGACATTAGTAGTTCCTCCGAGCCGGATGGTCCACCCGACAAAGGTGGATTTCATGGTGGAGCCCACCACCATCAGGCTTGAGGCCATCGCGGGGGCGCCTCGCCCTGATCCGGCGTGGGAGCCATATCTGACACCCCCTTTTCAAGGGTGTAGTGCGGCGCGACTGGCGGGGACGCTCATCTACGAGACCAGGCAACGTCCCAATGTGATGTATCACTTCCTTGTCTTCGCGGCGCAGAAGCGGGAGTGGCGGCCTTACACCGAGACTCATGTGGTGATGACGGGTCCAGGACCCCGGTCGGTGCGCAAGCGGGTGGTGCGAGCGGTGGCCGATCTGGCGCCACATGTCCTGTCTCGTGTGTCAGGGGCCTTCCTCTATCCCTCGTTCGTCCAGCACCACTTCCATGAGGAAGATGCACCGACGACTCCCGCGACAATGACCGCTTTCCTTCCACCTATTTCGCCCCCTCTTAATCCCGACATCGATCACTTCCTCTGATCACCCTCGTCTACCTCTCCCCTCTTCTCTCCTTCTCTTTTTCTTCATCATCTTCTTCCCCTATGCCCAAAGTTCACCTGTCGAGACGCGCTGTATGTAAAAAAAAAAAATTAAAAAAAAATTAAAAAAATTAAAAATCAGTGGACTACTTACCGATCGGGCCAGCTGACGATGAAGGGGCCGCCCGATCGGATGTATAATAAGAGGAAGATGACTGACGATGCGAAATGCGTCGAAGTAGGATAGGAGATTCTCGGGCCAGCTCACGATGAAGAGGCCGCCCGAGCATCCAAAATATGATGACATCAGCAGTCGGGAGACTGCTAATTTTTCGGAACCCCATGCATATCACAGATGTGATAAGCTCAGACCCGTACCGCGCGGTTTGCCGTATCCCTGAGGAAAAATCCCCCGGAAGCCCCGAAGTACGGATGCGAACAAAAAGGGGTTTTTCTTTCTTTTTCCTTTTGTTTTCTTTTTTTTTTAAACGGCTTTTTCATTTTTTTTTGGCTAATAACTCCCGCGCGGGCGAATAGCGGCCACGATATGAAAACCAAGAAACGGTTCCAGTTGGGACTTTTTGAATTTTTGCGCGCGCGCGCCTAAGCTTCGGTTTCTTCACGCGTCTCGCACTCCCGTTTCTTGCTTTGCATCCCCGCGCCATCTTTCTTTCTTGCTGCGCGCGTTTCCCCCATGCAGGACTCTTCGTCTTCCCCTACGCCCAGCTCGATCCTTACCCCGTCTCCCTCCGCGAAGTGATTGGCTGCGTAGTTGGGATGCTCGGATCGATGTGGAGAGCGGGAAACCGCGCACCACTTGGACAAACACCCCAATCACGTAGGACCATGCAACCCCGCGGGTCGAACCCTTTGACTCCCCACCTTTCTTCTGTCCTGCTCATCTACACCCTGCGCTGTCCGCACCTCGCGTTGACAACCTGCCGCCTCCCTCGCTATAAATTCACGCAACCCTCTCCTCTCCTTCTCTTTGATCTGGCTGCAATGCTGCGCGAGCTATGCGCGAAGTCCGCGGCGCCGAACAGGCTCGGCGAGCCCAAGGACGGGCGGAGTGACGACGCGGGGTGGATTTCATGGTAGTCTCGGGGCGAGGCAGTCGGAGGGACTGAGCAGTGGTGGGGATTGGACGCCGGCCGCGGCAGGGCCTTGTGGCTATGGTAGTCGGTAGTCTCGGGAAGTTTTGAAGGTTGCGCCTGGGGGCGGCAGTTAATTGAGAATTTTTGTATACAAGGAGGACTCGCTTTTATCTCCACTACTGCTTTGTCTAAGCATGACATGTGCGTGAGGCCCCAAGTGATGGGAGCTTGTTGTGCGCATGAGTGATGTCAAAGGACTATGGATGATTGGATGTCCTGTCGAGGGTTGTTGATTGCATGCATGTATCTGTGTATGTACTTATCCGGGCGGGGACGGGGGAACTGAACCGGACGACCGCCTGCTTAGGAGTATGAGTGTGTTAATCCCATTGTTCCCCTCCCTTCCGCGGCCCTTCCTGCGCGCACGTGCAGTCCCGGTGTAAACTCCCTCTCTCTCCCTCTCGCCTTTCTTTTTGAACTGGTAGTCATCGTTTTTTAACGTCTCGTCCCCGCACCGGTGACACGTCCGCGCGCGCAGTTGTCCCCGCGACGAGGAAGTGAACTTAGTTTCCCTCATCTTCTTCCAGCGCACTAACCTTGAGAGAGAAGGATTACATCGAGTTTTGTATGGAGACGGTGTTGGTACGGAGGACTGGCAGCGTGGGGTCTGGCCCGTGTTCATCGCCTGCCTCCGATCATCCCATCTCGCTACTGGCCTTTCCCATCGCAGATGACGACGTCGTCTACTGTGATGCCGATGTACGACGCGCTTTGAGTCGAACGAGCAAGTCTGTTGGTGGGACCCGCCCCGGGCGTTTAATATTAGGGGAGATGGGTTCGTCTTAATTGATGATTTCGATTCCCCGACTCTAATATTGCAAGTTCTCCCGCAGCTTCACCCTCTTGGGAACTTTCGCGCGGACCTTGTGAGCCCAACGCCGAGGCTTAAAGGCCTTGAACCAACCACCTATGCAACGAAAACCTGACGGCCCGGTCTTCGGTCCGTAGCCATCGTGGCCTCCTCCCCCTGCTGCCCTTCTTCGTTTTGGTTCACTGCAGCAGTTCGTCTTTGCGGAACTATTCGGTTTTCGTTGCCCTAGGCTGACCCGACCTCCACGGGACTCAGTGGTGAAAGATCGATCCCGGGATAACCTCTGGTTCGAGACGAGAGCCTGCCGTTCCGACCGGGAGACTCAACCCCTACGGCCAAAAATCCTCGGCCACGCCCCTCCTATAACTCTGATTGGCGACCCAGTACGGGAAGCCGCGAGGGGGCGTGAGGTTGCGTATCACAAGCCCAGGTAGTTCAAAACTTGTTCGTTTACCAGGCTCACTATTTCTGTTTCTGATGGAACAGACGAAACTTGAATCGAGGGCAGCGTCAACGATTCGTCATTCGCCAGCTTCATGAATACCATGACCCCGTTAGGAGAGTCCGAACATATTACGGGAACCAAGATTTCCTTTATTTTCCCTTTGTCTTCCTTTCCTAACGTTGCCAAAAGTTCAGCCTCAACCAGGGACTTTCTCACTGACCTAGCTAGCTGGGAGCGTTTCTTAGAGGCATCAGTACCACACGGGGCTTTACAAACTTGAACACTAAGCACATGTTCTTCCCTCGTAGGGATTGGAGAGTGGTCCTTTGACAGCGCCCCCTTACTCACCATATACAGCCCCGGGTGGTCCACACCTGCCTGCTGTTCGAACTGAAGTGTGTTCCCTTGGGCTATTCCTGGTAGTGAGAAGTCCCATGGGAGACCCCCCCTGTTTTTCCGAACAATCTTCCATGTCCAGGGTGGGCAGTTCCCCCAATCTCCCTTCCCTCGGGTCTCCTGCCTCTCCCTCCTCGATCTTGTACTGTACCACGGTCTCCAGGGGGGGGGGGGGGGGTGAACTCCAGGCTCATCCAATTTTTCATTAGAGCCTTGGTTTATCTTTTCCTTGTCTATGACCATCTCATCTTCTCTAACCTCCTGGAGGCTCTTTGATTTTCTGTTTTTACGCACCTTGTTCCTCCTTTCCTTCGTCTGCACCTTGCCTGCGGAAACGACAGGAGGTCCGTCCGGTTTATCGGAAGGAGCAGGTCGGGCCTGATCCTTCACCTGCTGCTCTTGGTGAGCAGCCACCTGTTGAGAATCAACTCATGTTCCTGCTCCCGAACCAACGGAAGTGGGCTTTTCCACCCTCTTATAGATCCTCTCATCCCTTCGTTCTTTTTCCTTTCCATTTTTCTTCTTCCCCACCCCTACTGGGGATGATGAGGAGCCCTCCTTTCTTCTTCCTTGTAGTCCCGGAACATGGATTGTGTCCTTCGGGACATCCGTTTAAATTGGAACGATACAGAGAAGATTTTTTTTTTTTTCCTTATATTCGAGGCCGGGGACCTCACAAATCCACCCGGAGTTGTCCCGGCAGCATCAGCCGGTTTAGCTTAATCAGACTGTCTCACTTGATAACTGGTCTCCTCTCTAATTCTCTCCCGTCTGTTAGCTCAACCACTCAGGTACCAGTGTACAGGCCTCCCTATCCGATTACCTATTCCTCTCAATGTCACCAGCCGAAACTCTTTCAATACTGGGTTTCATTGATATCCTATGCTATCCTACTTACCCTACTCCCCACCTCTACTCTCTAACTAACGACTAGCTATTTGCCTACGCAAGGATGGCCCCTGCGCAAGGATGACACGCATAAATCGAGAAATGGAACATTGATTTTTATTTTGTTTTGTTCTTCACAAAATCCAATTCAATTACCTGTCGAATCTGGATAGGACGGGGTTTCAAGTCTTTTTATTGCCATTATTGCCATTGTAGTATTATTAGGGGGAACGCCGTAGCAGTTCCCACGTTGGAGGTTTGAACAGGGAATTTTCAGTGGTGCAGCGGGGTGCACAAGTCCAACGTGGAGTTCCAAAAAGCCGCGCCAAGAACGACAGAAAGGACAGCTGTGTCTACGAACAGACAACAGAAAAGACCAAAAGATGGCCGTGGAAGAGGACAACCGAACGGAAAGAGCGAACCCAACGCGTGGGAAGCGGCGCGCCGCTCATGAACGGAGAACCAGTCGGGACGGATACAAACGGGCCTCGCTGCACTACTCTCGAAATGTGCAAAACGAGAGTGAATCTTCGCTAGAATATGGAAAGATACACCGCCATGATTTTTGTCTGTTGTGCACGTCGAGAATAATGCAGCGAGGCCCACGAGATCGGATGGTGCGGGCCATTTGCCTCGCTCCACTCCACTACAGTACTCACCGAATGAAGGGCATAGCCGCACCACTCTCGAAAAGTGCAAAATGAGAATGAACTTCCCGCTAGAACATGGCCGGATGCACCCTCCACAGTTTTGTCTTTTTCACATTTCGAGGCCCGCACTGATGACGAGGAGCGGAGGAAGGCCGGACGTAAAAGTCAAATGGACTCGAGTCACGCCAGACGGGGCCCAATAATGATACGCATAAGTCACTCTTGAGAGGCCGACACAGATTTCATGAGCAGTGAAGCGACGGCGGAACTCTAGCCAGTGTCGTCCTCCC